ACCATAATGATGTCACATGAAACAGGTGTAATCACAGATAGCTTATTCATAAATACAGTACAGCTTTAAATCCTATCACAATGAAAGAAACAAGCATCATATATCGAGGCCCTCAATATATGACACTTAATGTACATCATCAGGAACAATATCTGTCTCGCATATACTAAAACACTGAATAACATCATCAGAGCGTTTCCCTATGCAAATGACATAAAAAATTATCAGTTGCTTTCATTTGGTCTATTTCTAAAGTCATTTCCAATATTTAATTTTAAAACATCCGGGTCATTACTTGAAGTACTAACAGTATTATCATCTGCATAGTTCAAACATATAATTTACATATATATTAGAGTATAGACCCCAGTGACCGCATTTGGAGCCAATTTTTACCTGCTACTTAGATACATATAGGATCCTTACATGAGTTTCCATTTCATATGATATTTTTGAAACGAGTCTAAGAATTTTCCAATTTAGCGAGACTCTGGCGAGCTAATATGAAAAGTTCGTGTTGAGTTTCATTAATTTCATATGAAATGAAAACGAGTGCAAGATCTTTTTTATAACATAATCAAGATTCGTGACATTTATTCGTGTAAAACGACAATTTTCATGCAACCTTGAGATGTAAAAAGCCGCCATTTTGACTGCATTGTGTAAATCTGTGACGTCATGTACTTGTCATTGACATCACAATTGAAACAATTGAAACTTACAACCAATCACAGAGCTGATAGGTCATATTACATGGGTTAAAACGCAAAAAAAATGACATGTGTATATTCACTGGATAACACAGTACATTATGTTATAAAGCTGGATACCCGGTTAAGCTAGCCTCTGTTCAGGCCATATGCCTCCATCTTCCTAGCTAGCAGGTAATGAGGAAGGCAGTGATAAGCGTGGGGCAGATCCATCAGTATGGCGGCGACATACTCATAGTTGTCCAAAGCTCTTAAAAAACTCTGTTAACAAAAACATTTAATTCCAAACTTTCCTTTTTACTATATCAATATATAATTACAATATGCCCTCCTGAACGAATATGTATC